GTGGGAGGGAGGGAAGGGGGGGGGGAGGGAGGGAGAGAGGGAGGTGGGAAGGGGGGAGGGAGGGGGAGGAGGGGGGAGGGAGGGAGGGAAGGGGGGAGGGAGGGAAGGGGGGAGGGAGGGAAGGGGGGGGGGAGGGAGGGAGAGAGGGAGGTGGGAAGGGGGGAGCGAAGGGGAGGGAAGGGGGGAGGGTTGAATCATACATATATGCAAGGGATCAAGAAATGAACTGCCGGCGTCCGTCCGGGCGCGGGGGGTTGAGGGGTTGAGGAGGGAAAGCGGGGAGCAGAGAGCGGCACATGTACATGTGTGTATGGGGGGGCGGAAGGTGCACGTGCATGTGCATGTGTATGTGCCGCTTCCTTGATATTTCTGCATTCTGCAACTCTATAACATTCCCCCCTTACCGCCCTTACGTCCCCTCCACAAACGGGAAGCGACGGCGGTCTTCAACCACCCCTGCCCCCTTCCACTTCTCCCCGCCCCACACCTCCTCAAAGTTGGCAATGATGTCGTCTAGAAGCTTCTTCTGCGCCTTCTCCTTTCCGAACATGGACGGCATCTGCTTGCGGAGGTGCCCAATGAGCTGAAGAGGGGAAGACGGGTATGGGGGGGAGGGGGGGAGTAGAGCCGGATCGTCTTTTATTAGATAACTAATGATATATTTCCTGTTCAAACCACCTTATTTCCTAAAAAAGAAAAAGTAATAAGTTAGGAACTTGATCAAAAATGTTATATTTTTATGCGACTCCGGTAAAAGGGAGGGTTGGGGAGCGGGGAGGGGCGGGGCGGGATGGGGCGGTTGAGGGAAAAGAAGAGCCTAAACCAGGTGAGGTACCAACACAGCAACAGGTGTGTGTGTACACGTGCGCCTGCGTGTTCGCGATGTGGGCGCAATGTCCTTTTGCTTCTCCTCCCTAACCCCTTCCTCCTCCTCCCCATCCCAGTCCTCCCCACACACATATAGGCTAGTCGCACGGCACGGATATAGGTATGTCTGTAACAGTACGAGCAGAGGGGTGCGGTACTAAACCCCTTCCCCCCCCCCCGCCAAACATCACCACACGTCCTGGAAGCGGCTGCCTAACCCGCCCGCCGTACTAGATCAGCCCACAACAAACCCAAAGGTACAACAGCAGCAGCAGTTTTTGCAACAACATATGTCGTACACGGTGTCGTACCAGGATATGGATCTTGGCTGCGCGCACTCGCTTCACGAACTCGTTGATCTTTCGGTCTGTGGACCTCTGGGGGATCTCGTACAGATCCGCCAGCAGCTGCGGGGCATGTATGTACGTCCGTACGTATGTATGTATATACATGGGGTTGGAGTCGAGAAAGGTGAGGACGGGTGTTTGGGGGATTCCAGCGGGATTTGGGGTCAGGCCCCCAGACAGACCTCCCCTCCCTCCCAGCCCCCCGCCTCCCGGCCCCGGCCCGCACCTGCTTCTGTTCGGCCTCGAACAGGGGTTTGCCGTACGGGTTGATCCGCTCGTTGATGGGAGCGTCGCTGTTGAACGACCCCACGTACACCTGCACCGATATACACACAGACAGACATGCAAAGGTGTCAGATAGATATTGACAGACAGACAAACAAACAGGTATTTTACAGGTATTTCTAGTAACATCACTCCAGGGAACTATCCAGCTCAGACACAGCAACCCCCCAAACCCCGGGACGATCCCCGGGACGGGGCCAGCAGCACTAGCAGTAGCACCAGCAGTAGCAGTAGCAGCACCAGCAGCACTAGCAGTAGCACCAGCAGTAGCAGTAGCAGTAGCACCAGCAGTAGCAGTAGCAGCACCAGCAGCACTAGCAGTAGCAGTAGCAGTAGCAGCACCAGCAGCACTAGCAGTAGCAGCACCAGCAGCACTAGCAGTAGCACTAGCAGTAGCACCAGCAGTAGCAGCACCAGCAGTAGCAGCACCAGCAGCACTAGCAGTAGCAGTAGCAGTAGCAGCACCAGCAGCACTAGCAGTAGCAGCACCAGCAGCACTAGCAGTAGCAGCACCAGCAGCACTAGCAGTAGCAGTAGCACCAGCAGTAGCAGCACCAGCAGCACTAGCAATAGCAGCACTAGCAGTAGCACTAGCAGTAGCACTAGCAGTAGCAGCTTCTCTCACCTTGCACACCTCCGGGCTCCGAAACACCTTCCCCAGACTCCACATGAGGGCGCCGTACACCCGCATGAGCTGCTGCTGGTCAACCTGCGCGCGCGTGTGCGTGTGTGTTTTGCGGGGTTTGAGGAGGGAGCGCCGGGGAGCGGGAGATCGGCAGCAGGGGGGGGGTGAGGGAAAGCACGGATGAAAATACCCACGTGGCGTGACCCGCACGAGCCCCCGGCCCCCGCTTCCATCCATCCATCCATCCATTTCCCCCTCTCCCCCACCCCCACCCCACACACCCGTTGAACATCCAGGGCTGGCCAAACGCCCCGCACACACGCAGACGTGTACTTCGAACGCATGTACCTCCCTTGCCTTCCCCTCCCCTCCCCTCCGCCGCCCCCGAACTTCTACTCCCCTTCCAAAACCCTAAGCCCCTCCCCTCCCTCCCCTCCCCCCTCAGCTCCCCCGTCCCTTCCCCCCCCCCCCACACACACACCTGATCCGCCTTGTTCAGGATGACCCGCACCTTGTCGTCATGGCCCCGCAGGCAGTTGATCACCTGAACACAGCAACAACACCAGCAACACCATCACCATCACCAACATCAACAACAACATGAACAACGTCGGAGCAGGCAGTGGCAGCCACCCGGGGGTTCCAAATGTGTGTGTGTATGTATGTGTGTGTTTAAATGTGGGGAAGTGGGGGAGAAGGGGACGGAAAAGGGGCCCTGCGAGGGGTCTGCGAACAACATCACCACCACCACCACCGCCCTCTGATACCCGGACACGCATCACATCAGACGCCCGCTAGTCCCAACCCCACCCATCATCCCCACTTCATATCGCCTCGTGTGTGTGTGTGTCAAGGCTCCGGTCCCAGTTTAGGTCCCAGATAGGACCACATCCGACCTACCCCGACCGAAACCCACGAACACCTCCCTCGCTATCTGCCTCCCTCTCTCTGCCCCACCCCACGGCGATGATGAGCCTCCGCCCTCCCCTCCCCCTCAACCCCCGTCCTTGCCGCCCCCTCCCCCCCCTCAACCCCGCCTAATGGTCAAGACCGCGTACTGGTCAGTTCTGCTTCTTGTCCTCCACCCTTTCCTTGGCAGCAGCTTCACTCGTTGTTCGTGGCTCGTCTTTCCCCCCCTTAACCCCCCCCACCACCACGCCCAACCTCCCTCCCGCCGCCACACACACACCCTCCGCATCATCAATAAACCTTCACTGCGACGGCCCGACTCACGCTCTTGAACTCGTCGCTGATGTCCAGTTTGTACGGATCGAACAGCAGGAAGATCAGGTCGCAGCGGGCAGCGAACCACTCGCAAATCTCCACAAAGTTGTACGCGCGCTCGATGCGCTGCTTCTCACCGGAAAGAACACCTGGGGGACGTGTCCGCGCGCGTGTGCGTGCGTGTGTGTATGGGGTGTTACGTGGTGGAGGTGGGCCCGGGGTGTGGTGCTGTCCCAGCCCTACCCACACATGCGCGGGGGGGGGTGGGGGCGCTCGCCG